ATAAAGTCGCCTGCAGACTCGACATTTCTACATAATACGGTTTAGGGTTTAGGGTTTAGGGTTTAATAAGTCCTTAGCCAAGTGGGTTTCTTAGGGTCCAGGTGAGCTCTACTCTGAGGCCCAGGAGACTTAGTAAACGGGTAATAAGTAGAGTTATAAGTTACTTTTTTGCTGGCTTACTAAGTCATCTGGGCCTGAACCCCTTGTAGATCCCTTTTAAAGAGCCCTGTAAGGAACCCTTTAAGGAACCGTAGTTATTAAAAATTCCCTCTCAGGATCCAAAGACCTTCAGGTTAACCCAAAAAAAGGAGGAACTACAGTGGAGGGTTTAGGGTTTAGGATGTAGGGTTTGGAGACTATCCTGAACCCTATACCCTCAACCTTAAACTAAACCCTAAACCGACTACCAAAATTTTCATTATCTAGATATGAAGCCCTTTTTCGGAACCGTTTTCGTAGCCCTAAACCTTAATCCCCAAACCCCAAAGCCCTAAGCCCTACCTTAACCCCAAATAGCCTACCTTTTTAAGGATTTGTAAAGAAGTCATATTTGGGAATCCTAGAAAGGTAGGTTTTTCAGGGTTAAGGTAATCCCTAAACGCCCTAACCCCTAAACCCTAGACCTTAAGCCCTAAACTTTAAGCCCCCAAAATCCTGAACCCTAAACCCTAAACCCCCTTAAGGGATCCTCTAAGGGCTCCCTTAAATCCGACCCTTCAGGTGCCCTCTCTTGAGTTCTGGCGCGAGAGCACCATCGCTTGGAACTCGATCCAAGCTCCGGTGGGGGGCGCGCTCTGCGAGGGCGCCAAGGCGCAGGGTTTAGAACCACGGTTTAGGGTTCAGGGGTTTAGTGTTTAGGGTTTAGAACCCAAAGCCCTGAAACCCTAAACCCTAAACCCAAGAGACCCTAAATCTTAAACCCTGTAGACCCTAAATCCTAAACCCTATAAACCCCAAGGCCCTTGTGCGAGCCGTAAGGTGCAGCATGTTGGTTTCGATCTAGACCCTAAACCCTAAACCCCAAACCCCAAACCCTAAACCCTAAACCCTATACACCCTAAACCCCAAACCCTAAACCCTAAACCCTATACACCCTAAACCCCAAACCCTAAACCCTAAACCCTATACACCCTAAACCCTAAACCCTAAACCCTAAACCCTATACACCCTAAACCCCAAACCCTAAACCCTAAACCCTATACACCCTAAACCCCAAAACCCTAAACCCTAAACCCTATACGCCCTAAACCCCTATACACCCTAAAACCCCAAACCCTAAACCCTAAACCCTATACACCCTAAACCCCAAACCCTAAACCCTAAACCCTATACACCCTAAACCCTATACCCTTATAGAATCCCTATAGATCCCTTTAAAGGAGCCCTAGGAACCCTAAACCCAAGGTGCAGCAAGTTGGTTTCGATCGGCTCCTGGCCTTCCCAGGGCTCCCGGCCTGGCGCCGCTATCTCGGAGATCGCAAAGATCCTGGGTTACGGTTTAGGGTTTAGGGGTTTAGGGACCCTTAATAGGGACCCCTAGGCTTTAGGGTTTGGGTTTAGGGTTTAGGGTTTAGGGTGAATAAACAAACCGGCTAGTGGAAAGGGATATAGGTATAGGGCTCTGTCTATTATTTCTAAAAGGACAAGGGTGATCCTGCGTTCTTGTTACAGGGATTGAACCCAGAATCTGGGAGGATCCAAAAAGTAGATCCCTTAGTGGGGGTTCCTATAAAGTACCCTTGGTAGTATAGGCCCCCTTTCTAGATCCTCCCGGAGGTCTGGGAATTTAAGGTACCATAAGGGTAGGGGTTCCTTTAAAGTCTAAACCCTAAACCCTAAATAAAGGATCTATATGAGGGTTAAACCCCTCCACCAGAACCCAGGATCCTGAAGCGTCTGCACTCTCTGACTTCATCGGCCCCTACGAGATCAAGCGCTTCGAGGCCCTATACCCTACCGAACCCCTCAAGCCCTAGTCCTTAAAACTCTTAATATCCTAAAGCCCGAAACCCTGACCCTAAACCGTATGTAAACCCTTAGACCCCACCCGCCTAAACCCTTTAATTAAACCCTAGACCTTAAACCCCTCAATAAAAAAGCCCTCAATACCGTAAACACCGAAGCCTTAACCCCCTAAGCCGTTCGAGATGGGAGTTTCCAAAACTAGGGGACCCTAATATAGTACCCTAAATAGTAGGATCCTTATTATGAGGACCCCAAAATATGGTACCACTAATGTTCGGAAACTCCAAACCCGAAGCCCTTTATAGAACCCCTCTAGATCCCTTCAAGGCACCCTTATAGATCCCTTTAAGGAACCACTAATTCCCGAAACCGTTCGAGATTCAAGTGTTTCGAGGCGTCGGACGTCTGGTTGATCGGTGCTAACGAGCCCATTGCCTCGGAGGGCTCTGTGAAGACCAGCTCTGGCTACATCAGCGCGAGACGGATCCCCTTACCCCTGCCGGAGGCCCTAATCTTAGGGGTACTTAGAAATAATTTTAGTTTTTTGTTATTATAATCCCTAAGAGACAGCTGAAATTAGTATTTTTGCAAGGGTTCTAAGTTCAGTATAGTCATGGGTTCTATAAAGGTTCCTTTCAAGAGTACTAGAAGGGTGTTATAGGGGTTTTGGGGGGGTTTAATTTAGGAACCTGATTAAGAAACCCTGGGTCTGTATTAGGGCTCCATATATGAATCTTATTATTTGGGGGTTGCAGGACCAGGTTTTCTTAATCAGGTTCCTACATTAAACCCTAAACTCTTGAACCCCTGAAACCCCCAAACCCCTTCAGCCCTGAGCCCCTAAACCCCTTAAGCCCTAAACCCCTAAAGCCTTTGTAAGCCCTAAAACTGTACCCCTGCCGGAGGGTCACGCCATCCACGCCTTTAAGCTGGAGGGCGATTGCGCCACCGTGCTGTTGGCTCCGGGGCTGGCGGGTGAAGCCATGGAAGGTCTGAAGGATGGGATGCTTCAGAAACTTCGCCTTTACCCCAAGGGTCCAAAGGACCCAATAATTAAGTACTCGGTTTTAGGATAGAAGTTATGTAGGTTAGGATTTTGGAGACGGTACTTGGACCCTTGGGGTTATAGAGTAGGTAACCTTTAGCCTTTTTTGGGTAGTATAGTCCCTATATAATCCCTATATAACCAGAAACCTGGGTTTGGAGTACCATACTTGAATATTTTTGGTACCTGTTCCTTAAGGGAACCATTATGAAAAAAAGTCTATACTTTGTTCTCCCTGGTTACTTCAAAGTCCAGGAAATTTCGCCTTCATGGCCTCGAGGAGGAGGATTTCCGCGCGGCCCGTTTTGAGGCAGAAGGTGCTCCTGTTCCCTTCAAGTTCAAGTTCCCAGCCGTGTCCCATGGGCATGATCTTCGCGTCGAGGGCTACTATGTGATGATGCGCAATTAGGTTCCTGAGCAGTGCCCTTTTTTCTTTCTAGTCTCTTGTTTTTTAAATAGAACACTATAGGTAGAAGGGTGCCCCTATCATGAAGGGGTTACTGCGGAACCGAGGCAACTTTAACTGGCAGGAGGGCGACCAGTCTGACGGCCCTAGGGAAAAAGGCCTCGGGAGGGGCTCATGTCATGATGGGATCTTTGGCCGTGATCGCTGCGGCCAGTTGCTCCTAGGTTTTTGTTAAGGAACTTCTTTCAATATAAGAGCCTGAATAATTACTAGTATTTTTTGGGTGTTCCTTATTGTAGTCCTAGTATAATGGCCCCCCCAAAACCCTATTGTATTTATTAAGGCGCCCGTTTTAAGCTAGCACAATAGAGATCTACGCTAAATTATTAGGTTTTCTTTTTGAACTTCCTATGGTAACTCAAGGCAAATTCCTTATCAAGCACCCTCAACCCTAAACCCTAGACCGTCAAGCACCCTGAAAAAGGAGCTTTAAAACGAAAGACTGCTCGACCGGAGCTGCTGAACCCTAAATCCTAAACCCTGAACCCCAAACCCTAGACCCTAAACCCCTGAACCGTAAACCCTTATCAAGCACCCTAAACCCTAAACCCTAAACCGTCAAGCACCCTCAAAAGGGATCTCAAAAAAAGAAGAAAAAGAACGTTAAGCACCCAGGCTCGCCCGCTGTTGCCCTCAGCAAGATCCAGCGCAAGATCTTCAGCGGGGCTTCGACTTCGAAGTTTGCGAACCTTGGCCTTTGTTAAGGAAGTACGGTTATGTTACCATACTAGGGATATATAAGCGCTCCTTTAAGGGATCTATACTATATAGGGATATATAAGCGTTCCTTTAAGGGATCTATAAGGTTCCTATTCAGGAAGTTAGCTGAAGTTTCCTGTTCAGGACGTTAGTTCAAGCTACCACAATTAGTGATGTATAACAGATAATGTGGTTTCCTTATAGCTTAAAAACTCCGCCGCCTAAACCCTACTCCCCAAGCCATAAACCCTAAACCCCTAAGCCCTAAACCCCAAGCCCCCAAACCCCTAAAACCTCAACTCTACGGTAGAAGCCGAAAAGTTGGAAACCCAATAGCCTCAATCCTGAAGAGTACTGTATAGGGAATCCCAGCACCATTTGGCCTCAATCAGGTTTCCAACTGTATGGGGCTTACTGTAGCAAGAACTCTAAACCCTAAACCCCCAAGCCCTAAACCCTAAGCTCCTAAACCCCTACAGCCTCAACTCTAAACCCTAGCAAGAGCCAAGGAGCTTCAAGAAGGTGCCGAGCCTCGGCAACTGGCCACATGGAAAGCTGTAGGCCACATCTGCCACACCTGCCAGGCCTTGGGGGAACCGGCTCTGGCTGATGCCGACCGGGGTTTAGGGTTTCGGGTTTAAGGGTTTCGGGCGTAGGGGTTTAGAGGTTTAGGGTTTAGGATGTACCTTAACACCCCAAGTAACCTACCTTTTTTAAGGACTTATATAAAGAAATCTTATTAGGGAACCCTAAAAAGGTAGGTTCCTTAGGGTCCAGGTAGGATTTAGGGTTTGGGGCCAGGCCCTGGGCGACCGACTCCTGCTGATGCCCACAAGGGCTGGTGAGGACGCTTCTAGGTAGGGCTTTGGGACATTTTATATTTTCCCTTATTGGGCTTAAGAGGATCTTACCTACTAATATTTTTCAATGGCTTTAAGAGCACCTCCTAGGCTTTCTATGAGAGCATGCAGCTGATCGAGTGGCCCACACAGAGCAAGTTGCGTGAGGTTCCCTTAGAGTTTCGGATGGGGTACATCGAGGGCGAGTGGCCACGTGGCATCCTTGCCGGGAGCACACAGACTTTCTTTACCTGCCACGAGATTGATGAGTACACTGAAACCGTCTTCGTTTTCGCGACCCCGGAGATATAAGCAAATCTCTTGTGTCAGCAAACCAGAGACTCGAACAGACCCATTCGCGCAAGGAGAAACGAGCTCGTGCCTCTGTTTTTGAGGTGTAGGAGACGGATGCTTGCTCCCTGGAATCCTAAACCCATAGGCCCCAGAGTGATTCGTTTTTGGGATTACCTTATAGGATTCTACATATGAACCCCAAAAAGGAACTACTTTGGGGCCTATGGGTACCCTATAAATCCGTGTCAGCGCAGAGAAGCCGAAAGCTGAGGCTCAAAGCCGAGAAGCCTGCTTAAATAGCGTGCAGCATCAAAGACCCCAGTACCCAGTAAGCATTGAAAAGCATAGCGCAAAATATAATATATATATATATATATATATATATACATCTATATATATATATAGAGAGAGAGATGTATATAGATAGAGTATATATATATATATATATATCTATATGTTTATAGTAAAACATAACATAGTATATGTTTATATATAACATGATAGAATAGAGGAAGTATACAATACAGTATAATGGATTATAATATATACTACATATATATATATATATATGTGTATATATAGATAAATATAGCCCGTAGTTGATTTTAGGCATCTACCTAAATGAAGCAAGGGTATTGGACTCGGGGTAATACTACACCTGGACAACGTTGTATCAGCCTGCCCTGAAAGCCCTTGCTCAGGTCGTGCAGATATGGGTAGAATATATCCCAAAAAAGCAATCATGAATGAGACGCTCAAGCCACCGAACTCAAACCCGCAATGCCTGGAAACTTGATCCGTAACCTAAACCTAGAACTTAAACCCTGAAACCTGCACCCGAAGCCCTAAAGCCCAGTACGCTTCCAGACTCTGAATTCTTGATACAACATGGCCGGAAGCTCCCTGCGCAACAGTTTGCAGCAGCGGGACCCAGTTCGGGGTGACATGGTTGGTAGGGATGTGTGGGTTTTGGGGTTTGTGATTTTGCAATCCTGGGTGTCTTTCGGGTGCGCGGTAAGGTATTTTTTTATGTGCAAGGGCTAAGCATCACGACGACTGCACAGCGTCGTCTTCCTTTTGTGCTCCTAGTGCAGGTCGGACTGTATGAGTTCATCACTATGGCACTTTGTCGCATTCTTCCGACCAGGTGCCCTCTAGTCGGCTCAAGAAGACAGCTTCCCTAAGCCCTAAACCCTAAACCCCTAACCCTAAACCCTAATCCACCAAACTGTCCGGCTGCAAGATGCCCGACATCCTCTTGCGAGCTGCTGCTTCTGGTGCCGAGACTCTTGGATCCCTGGAAGGAGCTTCAACTTGAGATAGGGTTTAGAGTTGAGGGTTTCGGGTTTAGGGGTTTAGGGTTTAAGGTTTAGGGGTTTAGGGTGGAACATGTGGAACTAGAGTGGGTTTTGGAATCAACTTGACCCTAAGGGCCCCGGTGCCCAATATATACTCTCCCAGTGGTAACTTGTAAACTGTTATCCGAAACCCGAGCACTGAATTATTGAGATAGGGAGCTAGACTGGGGTTCTCGCAGAGAAATTGGATTTTCCCGGACCCTAGAAACTCTATGCCATCAGGGTTCTTTATGATAATTTCGTCATACTGAATTAAAACCCAGAACAAGATAGGTTTTGAGGGGTTAATGTCAAGCTGGAGCTACGTACCTGAATATGCGGAGACCCCACTATGCACTGCTTGTTCCCATTATGCGGAAGCTTACTTCTTGCTCGACATGGTAAGTAGGTTTCAGGTAAGGTCACCGAAATCTGTTTACTGAGCCCCCTGATCCTCCTTGATGTATTCTCCCTTATTGGAAAGGAAACCTCGTTTCTAGAAGACAAAGCGAAATCTGGTTGTTCACGATGGGGTTCTCGTGTTTCGCACAGGTTCTTTACGGGTTTTGGGAGCCTGGTTTTATCCAGGTATTTAGCAACACTTGCCTAAAACCCTGGTTCTTGGAGCTCTACCTGCTTTAAAGCACGTTTTGGAATGCGTAGGTAAGCCCTATAGCCTAAAGCTTTATCACCCCTGAAACTCTACACTCTAAACCCTGACTAAAAAAGCTAAAGCCTAAACCCTTAAATCCTAAACTCTATACTTCAACCCCTATAATCTCTAAACCCCTAAACCCTAATCCCCCGTACTGCGAGCTCAGGATTGCGAAAGTAGCCGTCGAGCCCCTCGAGCCGGTTGCACGGCTCCGCCGAGCTGCGGTGGCGGCTGGGCACGGAGGCCCAGCCGAGCTGCGCTGCGGCCTGCGGTTGATGTGTGGCTCCGAGGTTTGCGGGAGTCTATGGGGTCAAGGGCTTTAGGGCCTGCATACGGGCCGTAATAATCACCTATATTATTTTCGAGGTTCCTTATGATAATAGTTAAGGTATAATATACACCACTAGATGTAAGGCCCCTACATTGCGGAGTCTATGGCTTGCAGGGTGACAGGGATTTATCGGGGCTTCAGGGTCCCTAGAAAAGGATCAGCAGTTTGATAGTTGTAAGTGCAGGTGCTGCGCGACAGCGCGACGATGGAGGCATCGGGCCTTGGTGGTGGCGGCACGGTGGACGTGGTGAAGGAGGGTTAGGGGTTTAGGGTTTTTGTACCATCCTTGCTGCTAAATTTAAGGGTTCGCGGCAATACTTAGACTTAGGAATCATATCCGGTGATTTATAAATCCTAGATGAGAATTAAATAGAACTGCACTAGAAATTAGCCCCCTGACTCGACATTTCGATGTGAACGGCTTTTTTCTTGCCTGAAGCAAAGGTAACACGGGGGGCATGTTGTTTGTTAATTTGAAACGCTGCGCGTCGTCCGCCTCGGCCCGGCTGTAGGCGCATGTGGCGAGTGGCTACTATCTGCAGCAAGCTCTTGTAGGAAAAAAGTAACAGTTGGAATCGCACTTATAGTAAAAGTATAATGTTCATAGCAACACGAAGCAGGATGATTGTGAGTAGTATTAGTAGTGGTAGTATCAGTACGAATTTTGGTGTCGTCATTCCGAAACACTGGATACCAAGACTCTCGCAAGCGGCGGGATGCCTTAAGTATGGGCCGTTGAGGCTGTGGATTTCGTGGGCGTCTTGGATTAGGGAAGCATTACAGCCTTTTCAACCACGTTACTCCGCCTATCCCAACGAAAGGGCGTCTAAAACAAGCCTGAGACGCAAAGCCATCAATTCGATACCAACATAAGGGCCCAAACAATGATTAAGACCCTGCTGGGGTTGTTTTGATAGAGTTAAAGTATATTGAAGTCATTAAGGCCTTGCAAGAAATAGAGACGGCAGCCATGCATGCCCGCTTGTTGTCCGGGCTTTGAAAGTTTTTCAGGCTGGGGTTAGGCTGTAGGGTTAGGAATTCAAGTTTGAAACTCCCTTGGTACTGCAGCCTTACAAGCGAGCCCCAATTTTTCAGGCTGGGGTTAGGGTGTAGGGTTAGGATTTCAGGTTTGAAACTCCGTTGGTACTGCAGCCTTAAAGGCGCGCCCCAAGAGATAAACATGCTACATTACAGTCCGGTGTCGTCGGAAATTCCCAGAAAACTCGCACCTGTCAGCGAGGGGGGGAGGGGCGGGAGGGTGGGGGAGGAGGGGAGGCGGGGGGCAGGGCGGGGGAGGGGGGGCGTCGTCTTTGGGGGGGAAGCGAGGAAAGGGTGGGACTGCCCACAGAAGCAAAAATCCGTTGGAGGGGGCGAGAATTCACCGCCGTACCTTGGAGCTCAGTGACGCGCTTCCATTTTTAAGGGGGGGGGGGGCAGTGGCCCCGATTTTTGGTGTGGGGTCAGTGGGGAGGGGATTAAGAGGTGGGGAATAGAGGGAATCCGAATAGGAGGCGAAGAAACAGAGCATTTGGGGGATAAATCCATGGTACAAGCCATGGGTCATAAGATCTGAGATGCCAAAGCCCTAGAAGCCCTAAACCTTTAAAACCCTGAACCTTAAACCCTAAACCCTTGAACAGCCATTTTGGCTCAAGCTCGTCTTCCTTTATGCCACACTTCTTGCACTACTCCGAGAGCTGGTGATGGCTTCACGGCGGAGGTAGTCTTTCTCACCGGAGGTGGTGGCGCGGAGGAGGACGCGAAACGGGGGCTTGACGGGAGTCTGGTGGACCTCGGCCGCGAGCTTGCGCCATGATGGGGTCTGTGTCGTACGCAGAGCGGGCGGCGGCATAGGCCTGGTCGACTGTTGAGGGGTTGTAGAAGGGGTCCTCGTTGCCCGTGAGGGGCAGGGTTCTGGTGCCACAACGGCTACGTCAGACGTGCCGCAACCGAGCTGGCCACGTGCCGCCCAACACGGCCACAGCCGCCACGACAAAAAAAATAATTATTTGGACCACACCGCCCTAATCCTCAGACCTGGACGCGACCGACACAACGGGCACTCTGGTGAGCCACGTGTGCCACCACAGCAGGAAGGTGGTGCTGCACACGGACACGAGCATGTTGGATGCTGCGAAGCACCTTGCCCACTGCAAACCCAGGATGAACATGGGCACGTTCAAACTGCGGTAGTTCGCCTTGGGCCTGAACTATTCCAAGCACGGGCCGCTTTTCGCTCCGGAGCTGCAGGAGCACCTGAAGCCCATCTCCATCAGCATGTTCGACTACATGCACAACTTTGTTGGCGTCTTTCATGTGGAGATGACGCAGCTCCTCCAGGTATTGCAAAACCAGGACTTCAGTATCCACGGCCGAGGCCCACCCGCCGACGCCTCCGATGCTCCCGGTGGTTGACGCGTCGTCTACTGCGGATCCGCCACCACCGTTTTCGCCGAGGGCCCGTGCCACTTACGCCGCGACGTCGCCGGCGACACGGACTACGCCGAATAAGACTACGCCGGCGTCGTCCTGACCGTCGACTCCATCCTCGACGCCCACCGCCACTTCGGCACCATCCGCGCCTTCGTCGCCTCCCTCGCCAAATGCTTCCTGCACATTAGGGGTCGTCTTGCTGTGGCTGGTGCTGGTGCTGTTGTTGTTGTTGTTGTTCTGAGCAGCAGTCCTCCGATTCTTCCTACCTACCAAAACTAAGTGGCACCTTTAGCCTGCTGCTGTGCTGGTGGCACCTTTAGCCTGCTGCTGCGCTGGTGCTGTTGTTGTGCTGTTGTCGGTGCTGGTGCTAGTGTTGCTTTGTTCTGGCTGGAGCAGCGGCTAAAGGCACTCACAGCAGCGCCGCGATCAGAAAGCCCGGCTCCTGTCAGGATTGCAAGGTATAGGGTGTAGGGTGCAAGGCTTCAGCACTGGACTGTCCTTGCGGCCGGGGTCTTGCTGCGCAGCAGCTGCTTCGACCTTTCTCCTGTTCCGTCTTGTCGTTTTTTTCGTTGTGTGTGTTCTCTCCTGAGCCGATGAGGCGGGGTCTCGAGCACCTCTTCTTCAACCTGTCGCGCTCTTTTCTCTGTCTCTTTCTCTGTGGCTTGTGTTTGCTTTGCTGAGCCCAGATGCGTCCTCGCAGAGGTCTGCCTCCTCGGAGTCTTCCACTTTGCTCTCTATCTCTTTCTCTCCTCTGTCTTGGTCGTGTGTGTTTTTCTCTGCTGAGTCGATCGCGGGGCCGGCCTCGCAGACTTCCTCTCTCACCTTGGTTTTTTTTTCTCGCTCTCTCCTTTGTCTCTGTGAGTTGTGTTTGTTCAGGTGCTGAGCAAATCGCAGGAGGAGAAGCTTCGCCTGCTTCCCGCGATCATACCAAACTCGCAGGGCTGTTTTCGTTGATTTGGGGCTGGATATTGGCCGCTAGGGTCAAGGAAAGAAGCCAGGCCAACAACAGCACCAGCAATAGACTAACAGCAGCAGTCTTACGGTGCCACGTAGCTTTGCTAGGGTTTAGTCAACTCAGGACCTCGAGCTTTTGTGTAAGCGGCTCAGACTGCTGTGCTAGAAGCTCTTGTTGTAGTGCTACTGTTACAGTTTAAGCAGTAACCCCACCAGGATTGCAATAGACCCTAAAGGTCCATGCCACAAAGCACTAAACCCTGATCCTCCAGCCCGAAACCTCAAAACAGCAGGCTAAATGCCCAAGCCCCGAAACGTGCACCTTTAAGATGACTGCCGTGAGCCTTTTACGCCCTGACCCTTAAAGACCTTAAACCCTAAACCTTTAACAGAAGCTGCCCAACACCCTGGACCCTAAACTCTAACACGCAAAACCCAAAGCCTTAGAACCCTCAAGCCTGTATCACCGTACTACCTGGCCCCTAAGAAACCTACATCTTTACAGTCCTTGGGTATGATATCCGTATATAAGTCCAGGTACACCCTATAAAGGATCCTACCTGTAGTCTCCATTGTAATATAGTGTAGTTCCTTGTTTGTTGATTTTTTATATTCAATGGCTCGGACCCTATAATATAAATTTCGTTAACCCAGGAACTACTACGGAGACCATCCGAAACCTTATACCCTAAACATCCCTAAACCGTAAACCCCGAAGCCCCAAACCCTCATAGCTTTTAAAAGCCTTCATTAATGTTTACAGATTGCGCCTTTTTGGGGAACCCTTTTTGTAGCCCTGGTAGACTAAGCCCTATAAACCCTGAATCGACTCTTCAGGTGCCGGCCCTGGAGTTCTGGCGCGAGAGCAACATCGCTTGGAACTCGATCCAAGTTCCGCTGGGGGGCGCGCTCGGCGAGGGCGCCAAAGTGCAGGGTTTAGGGGGCTGCAAGCCTAAACCGTCTTAAACCCCTAGGCCCCTATAACACCCAAACTCTACGCCATAGCAAGAGCCCAGGAGCTGCCGTAAATCCTATAATTAGACCCTAAACCCCAAGGTCCGTAGTGTGCTGGCCCCAAGGTGCAGCAAGTTGGTTTCGATCGCCTCGTGGCATTCCCTGCGCGCCCGGCCTGGCGGCGCTATCTCGAAGACCCGTTTTCCGCGTTTTCCCCGGGTTCCTATGACGAAGAGCTTGAAGCGTCTGCACTCTCTGATTTCATCGGCCCCTACGAGATCAAGCGCTTCGAGGCCCTAAACCTCAACCGCCTAAACCCCTACCCTAAAGCTTAAAGCCCTTAATACCGTAACCCTTAAACCTAAACCCCCTAAATCCCTAAACCGTTCGAGATCAAGCGTTTCGAGGCGTCGGACGTCTGGTTGATCGGTGCTAACGAGCCCGTTGCCTTGGAGGGCTCCGTGAAGATCAGCTCTGGCTACATCAGCACAAGACGGATCGCCTTGCCCCTGCCGGAGGCCCTAAACCCTAAACCCCTAAACCCCTGAACCCTTAAGCCCTAAACCCCTAAACCTTTTAAGCCCTGAACATGTACCCCTGCGGGAGGGTCACGCCATCCATGCCTTTAAGCTGGAGAGCGGATGCGCCACCGTGCTGTTGGCTCCGGGGCTGGCGGGTGAAGCCATGGAAGGTCTAAAGGATGGGATGCTTCAGAAATTTCGCCTTCATGGCCTCGACGAGGAGGATCTCCGTGCGGCCCGTTTTGAGGCAGAAGGTGCTCCTGTTCCCTTCAAGTTCAAGTTCCCAGCCGTGTCCCATGGGCATGATCCTCGTGTCGAAGGCTATGATGTGGTGATGCGCAACTAGGTTCCTGAGTAGTGCCCTTTTGCTCTTTTGATTTTGGGGTTTCAAACAAGAATAGAATATTAGGATTAGGACAGGGCACCCTTATCATTAAAGGGTTACTGGGAACCTAGGCGACTTTAACTGGCTGGAGGGCGACCAGTCTGACGGCCGCAGAGGAAAAGGCTTCGGGAGGGGCTCACGTCGTGATGGGATCTTTGGCCGTGATCGCTGCGGCCAGTTGCTCCCAGGTTCTTGCTAAGGAACTTTTTTAACTCTACCACGATAGGGATCTTTGGTAAATAACAGGGTTTCTTTCTGAAACTTATATGGTAACTCAAAGTAAACTCCCTAAACCCTAAACCTCTTTAGCACATAGAAATCTAAACCTTAATGAAATTCGTCGGCAAGGCCCGAAAATTCGTCGAACATTCGTCGGCAAGGCCCTTCGTCGGCAAGGCCCGACAACTCGTCAGCAAGGCCAATTCTTCGGCAAGGCCCAACGACACGGCACAAAAATTCGTCGGCAAGGCCAAGTCGTCGGCAAGGCCCGCAAATTCGTCCCAACGGCAATGCCCAACAGTTCGTCGGCAAGGCCCGAAAATTCGTCGGCAAGGCCATGCCTTACGATTCCGGCTTCAAAGTTTCGGCGCTAGGGTATCCGCTGTAAGGTTTCGGCCGTATGGTATCGGCCTTAGGGTTTCGGCCTTTGGGTTTCTGGCTAAGAGTTTCGGCCCTAGGGTTTCTGCCTTGAGGCTTCGGCCGGCTTCGGTTTTAGGGTCTCGGCCTTACGGTTTCGGCGTTCCGGCCTCAAGTTTCGATTTAGGTCGGGTTTCGGCCTTAGGGCTGCGGCCTTTGGGATTCTGCTTTAGGGTCTCGGCCTTAGGTTTTGGCCATAGGGTCTCGGCCGTACGGTTTCGGCCTTAGGGTTTCGGCCTCAGGGATAGGGTTGTGGCGATAGCCGGTTTCGGGCTTAGGGTTACGGCCATAGGGTCGTTTCGGCCTCAGGGTTTCTGCTTTAGGGTTCGGCCCTAGGGTTTCTGCCTTGGGCCTTCGGCCTTGGGTTTTGGCTTCGGTTTTCGGGTTTCGGCCTTAGGGTTTTTTCGGCCATGGGGTTTCTGTCAGTCATAAGGTTTCGGCCTCAGGGTTTCGGTTTAGGGTCTCGGCCATGGGGGTTCGGCCTCATTATAAAGAAGTGTTCAACCCAAAAGCTGTTAAACTATAATTAGTTGGTTCCAGCGGAGACATTGAAAATTCAGCTGCGCAAGGAATATGAATCCTTGTATATTCCTGATGTTATGGGATTCTTTGGGCGGGTGGGTTTTTCCACATCGAAAACCGCTAGCTTGAGTAGAACCTGCTCGATCCGGATCTGCTTGCTGAACCCTAACTTAAACCCTCAATCTTAAACCCGAAACCCTCTCCTTCTTATATTATGTATATGTATATATACACATATGTGTTCACTTATTTCAACCCCGAGGAACGTTTCATTTTCGCCAATATTACCCCTGGTGTTCAGCCTCAAGCTGCCCCTGAGTGCCTGTTAAGAAGCCTCTGCTCTGCAAATCCAGCCACTTTTCGCCAAATCGGACCGGTGTTGGGCACAAACTCCTTGAGCCATAAAGCCTTAGTGTGGCCTCAGGGTTTAGGATCGAGGGTGGGTTGGGGATGAGTCTAGAGTGTGACGCGATGGTTTGAAGCACTGCACCAACATCTTGCTATTTGGAGCGAGGGTGTGCCCAAGATGTAGCAGGGTGTACTTGAGCGAATGAGCATTCAAGTAGGGTAAAGTACCTTGCAGCAGATTTTTAAGGTTATACACCAGCTAGTCGAATTTGTAGCTGATACTAATATTCTGCCATGAAAGAAGCGATCAGCAACACGCGCGACTGTTCAGGTTCAGCTCGGACACTGATGTCATCTATAAGAACTCTGTTATGTTATACCAAGAACGGTAATTAAGACAACAGATTTTCAGGTTTAGTTCGTACATCGACTAACAACGTCTATGATCAGTTATCTTCTGCCATGGCAGACACGGTAACCAAAGCAAACGAATTTTAAGGTTTAGCCTGTGGCTCGAACAACACCGCTTGTAACGTTTGATACTGTTACACATCAAGACAACAGCAGTCACTACAAATAAAAGAATTCGTCTGAAGTAGAAATATGGCGCGAGGCCGTGTGAATTAGAAAAAGTTGTATTTCTGAATGTTTTGGAATTCTCTGGGTGGGAGGGTGGGTATTATTCCATCTTCTAAATAGCAAGCTCGATGAGAGACTGCTCGACCGGAGCTGCTGAACCCTAAATCCTAAACCCTAAACCCTGAACCCCAAACCCTAGACCCTAAACCCCTGAACCTTAAACCCCTTATCAAGAACCCAGGCTCGCCCGATATTGCGATCAACAAGATCCAGGGCAAGATCTCCAGCGGGGCTTCAACTTCGAAGTTTGCGAACCTTGGCCTTCGTTAAGGAAGTTAGGTTATGTTACTTTACTCGGGATATATGAGCGTTCCTTTAAGGGATCTATAAGGTTCCTATTCAGGAAGTTAACTAAAGTTTCCATAAGCAGGGATCTATAACAAATATATAACTGGGTTTTTTCCTTAAAATCTCTGCAGCCTAAACCCAAAGCTCTTCACTTTAATCTCTGAACCCCCAAACCTTAAACCCGACACCCTTAAACCCAGAAAACCTCAGCTCTAAACTGTAGCAAGAGCCCAGGAGCTGCGAGAAGGTGCCGAGCCTTGGCAACTGGCCACATGGAAAGCCGTAGCCGGGTTCTTGTTAAGAAAATTTAGGGTTTTGGGGTTTAGGTTTTCAAGGTTTAGGGGTTTACGGAAAAAGCTACCATAGCAAAGAAAACCTATTATTTGCCATAGATTTCGAAAAGGTAACTTACTTTGACAAGAACCCAGGTAGGCCACATCAACCACACCTGCCAGGCCTTTGGGGAACCGGCTCTGGCTCATGCCAGCAAGGGTATAAGGTTTCGGGTTTAAGGGTTTATCGGTTTTGGGGGGTTGGGTTTAGGATGTAGGATGTAGGGTTTAGGGTTTGGGGCCAGGCGTTGGGGGACCGGCTCATGCTGATGCCCACAAGGGCTGGTGAGGACGCTTTCTATGAGAGCATGCAGCTGATCGAGTGGCCTACACAGAGCAAAGTGCGAGAGGTTCCCTTACAGTTTCGGCCGAGCTACATCGAGTCCGAGTGGCCACGTGGGATCCTTGCCGGGAGCACACAGACTTTCTTTACCTGCCACGAGATTGAGGAGCTCAGTGAAACCGTCTTCGTTTTCGCGACCCCGGAGATATGAGCAAAGCTCTTGTGTCAGCACACCGGAGACTCGAACAGACCCATTCGCGCAAGGAGAAACGAGCTCGTGCCTCCGTGTTTTGAGGTGTAACAGGGATGCTTGCTCCCTTGAATCCTTTACCCTATAAATCCGTGTCAGCACAGGGAAGATGCGAACCGTGCTTCCGGAAGCCAAGGCTCAAAGACGGGAAGCAAACTTAAGCAGCAGGAAACATCAAGAGATCCCAGTACCCCGTAAACTGGAATAATACAGCGCAGAAGCTATTTAGCCCCTAGCTCGTTTCAGGCATCTTCGTAGATTAAGGGTGTTTTTGGTGACTGCAACCTGGACAAAGGTTGTATCAGCCTGCCCTGAAAGCCCTTGTTAAGGTCGTGCAGATATTGATAGACTATATCCCAAATTACCGTTCCAATCATGACTGAGACGCTCAAAGCACCGAGCTCGAACCTGCAATCCATAACCTAAACCTTAGAAGTTATACCCTCAAACCTACACCCGAAGCCCGAAAGCCCAGTAGGCTTCCAAACTCCTCTGAAGTCTTGATACAACATGGCCGGAAGCTCCCTGCGCAAAAGTTTGCAGCAGCGGGACCCAGTTCGGGGTGACATGGTTCGTAGGGATTGGGGTGTGGGATTTGGGGTTTGGGATTTTGCATTCCTGGGTGTCGGTGGTGTGCGCGGTAAGGTATTTTTATGTGCAAGGGCTTAGCATCACGACCACTACACAGCACTGTCTTCCTTATGTGCCCTTAGTGCAGGTAAGGACTGTGATTAGTTCATCACCATCGTGCTCGTTCGCATTCTTCCGACTGCTCTTGCCTTGCTAGGAGCCCAAAGCTTTGGGGCAGAGGGCTGGATTGATCAGCGGACTAGCTAAGCAGGCCATGTCATTAGAGTTATAAGTCCACTAACTGAGGTTATCCTGTCTCCACCCCTACGGTGACAAAAGCCGGCCTTTCAGCTCTATCTAAGTTGTTGTTCAAGGATCCCATTGAAGCCTTTAAGCCCTTGTAGTTGGTTAAAGGGTTAAAGGTCGATGGAGTTGAGAGGGCAGATGGTTGCTGCGTCAGGCCTAGCTCCCATGATCCTCAGAACGTAGTGAAGAAGCTGGCGCTGGAGTGGTCAGGGTGGGCTCGCGGAAGAAATGACATTGCCAAATGGACCCTAAACCCCTAAACCCCTAAACCCTAAACCCTAAACCCTAAAGTGAAGTTCGTGGACGCGCTGGAGATGCTATTGGAAGGTCTGGGGTGGGAACATATGCGGGTTTCCGAAAATAGGGGACCTCTGTGCTGCCTGAAAGATTTCAATCCAGCATTGCAGTTTAAGTTCTGCACACTGCATGTGGTCCACCCCCCTAAATAGTAGGATCCTTATTATAACGACCCCGAAATAAGGGTACCCCTAATTTTCGGAAACCCTAAACCCTAAACCCTTTATAGAACCCTTCAAGGCACCCTTATAGATCCTTTTAAGGGTACCCCTAATTTTCGGAAGCTCGAAATCCTAAACCCTATATAGATCCCTTGTAGGAACCCTTAAAGGATCCCCTTAAAGGAACCCTTGGATACCCCGTAATACCCCAAAATAAGGGTGCCCTTAATTTTCGGAAACTCCCATATAAACCCTAAACCCTAAACCCTAAACCCTAAATGCGGGCTGATACGCGAGCCCAGAGCTTCCCGAGGGATTTCTCCCCGGATTTTCGTGAGGCCCGTGCCCTAAGCCCGAAGGCCCGGGCCTCAAGTTGGGTTTCGTTTTTTAAGGTTTAGAGTTTAGGGCTTAGGGGTTAGAGTTTAGGGCTTAGGGGTTAGAGTTTAGGGTTTAGGGTTTGGGGGGTTAGGGTTTAGGGTTTAGGAGTTAGGGTTTAATTAGGGGTTTGGGTTTTAGGATTTCGTTTTTCCGGGTTGAATCACACGGGGAGGGCTTGAGAATGGGATTCAGTAGTTTGCCAGGAAGACATACAGGGAGAAGCCCAGGGGACTTCGTAAGTAGGTTATAACTATGGTTATAAGTGCCCTAAATGGAATTTCCCCAATCATAGCCTTAGTTGTAACCTACTTACTAAGTCCCCTGGGCCTCCAAGTATGCCCAAGCCCGAAATCCTCACCTGGACGGGAACCCCAAGCCGAGCCCGTGCTTTTACGCCAGGCGGGCGCTCAGGTTCTACGTGGGGAACTCTGCTCCGGGCGCAGTGTTTTTGTTGCGTGGAGGTAGTCCGAGGAGTTCTAGTCCCTCTTGTAACAGTCGACAAGAAGCAGTAGTTGTAGCAGTCGTGATGGTGATGGGGGTGGTGGTGCTAGTGGTGGCAGTGGTAGTAATAGGTAGTAGTAGTGGTAGCTACTACAACTACTACTATTGCTACTACTACTACTACTACTACTACTGCTACTACTACTGCTGCTGCTACTACTACTACCACTACTACTACTACTACTACTACTACTACTACTACTACTACTACTCCTACTACTACTACTACTACTACTACTACTACTACTACTACTACTACTACTACTACTAATCTACTACTAACTACTACTACTACTACTACTACTACTACACTACCACTACCACTACTACTACTACTACTACTACTACTACTACTACTACTACTACTACTACTACTACTACTACTACTACTACTACTACTACTACTACTACTACTACTACTACTACTACTACTACTACTACTACTACTACTACTACTACTACTACTACTACTACTACTAGTAATTTGTGGTAGTGCTGGTTCGAGCTTCAAGGAATTTGAATTGGATTTCGGCGATCGAAGTGGCGGACAATTTCCAACTCAGACCAGATGTTGGTGGCTTCCTTCTGTTGCTCCGCAAGGGGTCCTCATGAAACGTCATGAGCCCATCGAGAGCCTGTGTGATAGCTAGGAACCTGGAGCCGTAACGAACCCACACCCGTAAACGCTCTAAACCCTAAGCCCAGAAATCCAAACCCCGAGGTTCTACGTGTGTTTTTGCACTTACCCACACAGTACGGCACCTTGATAAGGACCCAGAAAGGGACCATAATTTAGAGAACCAGTCGAGGGAACCCACTTATTGGGTGTAGGGTTTAGCGTTTAGGGTATAGAGCTTCACCCACAAATTGGTATATCATCCCGACTCTCATTCAGCAAGGAACCTGATTAAGAAACCCTGGGCCTATAATCCCCAAAATAGTAGGGTTCATGTAAGGAACCCCAAATAAAGGCCCAAGGTTTCTTAATCAGGTTCCTACATTAATCTCTACTGAATCTCCACAGCCTCCATTTCAGACGCCTCTGGGTGTAGGCTGCGTTCTCTGGCTGTTGGTGCTAGTAGGTTTAGGGTTTAGGGGCTTAGGGTTTAGGGTGCCTTTTATGGATTCGTATGGTTGCTTGTTATGAGGTTTTGTGCAGGTTTTTGAGATTATCTCCGGCTTTGTGTATTCTCTCTCTTCTCTCTCTTTCCCCAAGCCTGTGTCTACAAATGCAGATATTGATATGCGGTATGCAAATGGCTGATGTCGCTTCAAGAGACAGTGGACTCACGCAGCTGAGACATCCATCGACAGCGGATGCACCATCCTCATTCAGTGACCTGAGACCCTAACCCGTATCCCAAAGTCCTACAACGGCCTAAAGCAGTCTTATGGGCTCCTTGCTGCAACGTGGACACCCTTATATCAAGGAGATGCTCAACTTCATAGCGGTGGCAGAATTCCCTCGAAAATGTTGGTGTTTCAACTGGGTATACTGGATGTTTGCTCATAAAGCTGTTGCCAAGCAGCCTGAGTAAGGATATGTAGTGAATCATCGACGTACTTTCCTTTTGATGGGGCCAGGGCGGTGTTTATGACTGGACATACATCGTCACTCCAAACTAATGCCACCTTGAAAAAGAAGATTCGAAACTGGCTCTTCGGAGCCCTCAACCCTAAACCCTATGAGCACCTTTAAAGGGATACTATAAGGGATCTCGGATCTATAAGGGTTACTTTATAAGCCTATACCCCAGACTCTCTGAGACGTATGCCTGGATTGCGCGGCCTTGCCTTCGGCTCAAAAGATCGTACAAAGTTCCTTTTTGTTGTCGGCTCCGCTGGCGACCAGGTTAAAGAAGGCAGACCGCTATGTCTCGAGGTTTTCGGGAAGTTACTTCTTTTGGGTTCAAACCCAGACTGCTATGGCTCTCGGTTTTCGGGTAGTTTGGGATTTCGGACTTAGTGAACGGTTTAGGGTAGAGGGTTATGGTTCTGGGCTGCAAGTCGTAGTGGTTTAGAAAGGAACCTGCAGCGGGGCGAAGCTGGGGATTGCAGAGTGTCTCACGTCATGATTTAGCTTTTCTGTGGCGTTTTGAATTTTGATCCCTATATACTCCCACTGTTGAACCTTCTGTGCCATAGCAAGCCTGGACAACCCAGACCTTCCAAAACCCCTTAATTTAGGAATATACCTTAAATTATAATAGGATCCTTAATATGATTTAAGGTATATTCCTTAATTAAGGGATTTTGGAAGGTCTGGGAAGTAAAGCTGGAGGATGTGGCTTCTGGAGAGTATTCATAGGTCAAGGCTCCCTTCGTTACGGCTCTGTGTGGATCTGGGGTTGAGGGTACCCAAACCCGTAAGCCAAGTTTGTGGATTTGAGGTTGAAGGTGTGAACTTGCCGTTCTTCTGGTTTACTCTTAGGACTTTAAGTTTTTGGGTTTCTATATGAGCTATAATAAGGAGGCTAAAAGTTTAACTTTTTAGAGGGGCTCAGGAGTCAGCCAAGTGAATACTAGATCATGAACGCCTCTGAATTGGTTCCGCAGAAACCCTCCAACCCTAGATTTACCCTTACACCCCCTACAAAAGACCCTGTACAGTACCTGTTATGCTGTTAAAATCCTTAGGATGGAAGCACCGCGATTTTCAGAACAAAATGCAAAACCTTTGTGAAACCTCATGCAGACCCGCAACCGTTCCAAAGCCCATATAGAACCCCTAAACGATAGTCTCCTTAG